TTTTGGCTAACTTGTCTCTGCCAGCTAAGTCATCTGAAATTTCATCACTGGATTAATCCATCCATAACACAATTCTGATTAGGTTATTTCCTTGCTCAAAATGTTTAAAGGCTCCCCACTGCTTATGGGCTAGAATCCAAACTCCTCAGCCTGACATTCAAGAACTGTCCTAAGTATTGGCTATTGGGTTGAAAATAACTTCCACTCAGAATTTTGAAGACATTGTTCCACTAACTTCTGGTATTCAATATTTCTACTGAGAATCCCAGTGTCATCCTCCCCTCAGCACTCTTTTGTATGTAACCTATTTTTTCCTTCTAGAAGATTTTTTTTAAGTCTCAGTGTTCTGACACTTCATGATGATGTGAATTGACTTGTTCATTCTGGGCATTTCCATCTCATATAAATGGAATCATACATGTGTGGTCTTTTGTGACTGGCTTCTTTCATTTAGCATAATGTTTTCAAGGTTGAAAATGTTCATACATATTGCATGTATCAACACTCTATTTGCTTTAATGGCTGATGAGTATTGTATTGTATGGAAATATCATGTTTAGTGAATATATTCATTCATCAGTTGATAGACACTTGGGTTGTTATCACGTTTTGGCTATTGTGCATAATGTTCCTACAAACATTCATATATAAGTTTTTGTGTGGACAAGCGTTTTCATTTCTCTTGCATTTACTTAGGAATAAACTTACCAGCTGGGATTTTAATAGGGGAACACAAATGTCAGTATCTGTAAGTCTTTTTATCTGGAGTAGTTCAGTTTCTCTAATCTGCTATGTGATAAGTGGAAGGCCTGGCTGTTAGTTTTCTAGAATTGTGTGGGAGCTGAATCTTTCCAGAGATTTACCCACCTACCTGGAGGTAGGTGGGTAAATCAACCTCCTTCTATGCAGAATCTGCTAGCTATCTTACCTGCCATCTCTCTCTCCTTCCTTAGGAACAGAATCCTGTATTCTTGGGGGCAACAATGTATCCAGGTATAAAGCTTCCCAGCTTCCATGTAGAAAAAGGTGGCAATGAGACATTAGAAGTCAACTGGATGCGGTTTCAGGGAAATTGCCTTAAAGGGAGATAACTTAGCAGAAAGGCAGGTGTCCTTTTATGGGCCCCTCTTTTCATGTGTCCATAAAGTAATCCTTGAAGATCCTAAGAATAGAAGACTTGGACTAGACTACCCACCTTCAGGTTTCTTTTATGTGAGGAAAAAAGAATACTACCTTGTTTAAGTCATTAGTATTTTGAGTATCTCCTAATTAGCAGCTGATCTGAATCGTAAGTGATAGACTTCAAGTTCCTTTTGCAGGAAACATCTGACTGTTCTCTAATTGAGAATGATAACATTAAGTAACTTATCATTCAAATTTCTCCTAGTTTCATTAAAGATGGAGTTCATATTTCTACTTCTTATAGTATTTTTTAAGACAAAAACGAAAAAGCAGAATGGTTTTTACCTATCAACTTAAAAACTGGAACTTTCCCCTTCCAAACTTATTTCCTACCTTGCTTCCATTCATACCATGAATGATTCAGTATTTCTTTTCAGATTCCATAATTTCCTATTCTCTGCTTTTGTTCATTATATTTCCATTCCAAGAAAAGCATTTTTCTATGTTCGAATTATACATGTTCTTTAAGGTTCAACTCACAGGCTACTGCCCTCCACGGTCTGTCCTGACACTCAACAAGAAGCAATCTCAGCTTTACTATACTGCCTTCTCCTGGACACTTGCCACTTTACTGGATTCCATGAGGTTGAGGCCTCTGTTTCTGGTTCTCTACACTCCCTGTAGCACATGGCATGTATAAAGCAGTTACACATTGAATGAATTACTATATGTCACGAAACTTGAATTTTAGAAATATTATTTGGCAAAATTTAACTTCTTATGCCTATGCCCCAACAAGGGAAATTCTGAGTTTAAGGATCATTATAAATTGATCCCAATAGCAGCACTGGTAACAATTCCATCAAGGCCTTGAAATCAAGTTTATGATCTGTGGGTCATTGATAAGACAGACCTGGAGCCTTTAGGGTCTTTTAGATCAATACAGTCTGTATGTTAAAACACCCTATGGTATTTTACACAGCTTACCATATGTAGTGAATTTTTTTTAGATAAAGTTAATTCATTTAAAAATGTTTTTCTCCCATCTTAAAGTAGTAACATACTTCACGAAAATAATTTTATCTTTAAAAAATGTGAGTGCAGATAAGGTTTGTGGTTATTAAAAATCTTGAAGAATTCAAAATATCATTATCTGTACTTCATTATCTTCTGGATAGAATATTTCCCTCTCTTGAAGAGGGGAGAGAAAAAATGATTTATATAGATTTATATAGCATCATAAAGAATGATTTAATAAGAAATAGATCCATGACCTCTTGAGCTCAGTGTTCCAGTCAAATTTGACCAGGTAAACCAAAAAGACTGACATACTGGACCAAAGGAAAATATAAAACTTCTATATAATGGAGACATGATTTTAAAACACAAGAAACAGATTGGAAGAAAATTTTATCAACATGAGTAATAGTGTCTTACTATCCCAAGTACTAAAAAGTGCTATTCCAAATCATAAGAAAACGGACAAACAACTCAATAGAAAAATAGGCAAAAGAAACAAATAGGTAAGTCAAAGAAAAAGAAAACATATGAAAAGATGTTCAATATTTTAAGTATTAAAAAAATACAAACTAAAAAAAGAAATGTTCAGCCTCCTTTTGGGAGGTAATATAAAGTAAAGGTTAAGAATATGGACTCTAGAGCCAATATTCCTTGGTTTGAACCTCAGTTCTGCCATTTTCTACGCTGTGTAACTTCACGCAATTTATAAACTTCCATGTCTCAGTTTTCTTATCTTCAAAATAGGGGTAATGACAGTAACTATCTCATGGGGCTGTTGTGATGATTATAATGAGTAGGTTTACATAAAATACTTAGAATAGTGTCTGGCACAGAGTAAAAACCGTGTTTATTATTACTATTCATCTAATATGTTGATAAAATGAAAAAAGTTGTTTGAAGGATTAAAGGAAATCTTAATATGTTGGTGGGAAAGGAAATGAGCATAACTTTTCTGAAGGATGATTTGATAATCTACATACTCTATACTAAGCAGTTCCACTTCTGAAATGTGACCCAGTTACATAGGTACAAAAGGGTACATGTTCAAGAACCTTCATTATATCCCTATTTTGTATCAAAAAAAGGGAAACAATGTACATGAGTTCTCAACAGAGAACTGAAGGTACATTATGTTAGAAACATAGTAAGCATACTAAAAATGTAGCTGTTAAAAAGAATGATGTAGATTGACATGTATTGTAGAGTACAAAATATTTACACTAAAAAGTCATAGAATAATATGTACAATATGATCCCACTTATATAAAAACACACACAGAAAACATGAGTGCATTTATGTGTGGATTTTTAAAGAAGTCTGAAAATACACAAACTATTAATGAGGTTATTTATGTAGGGAGATGAGGAATAGGAAGAGGGTCTTTAGTGTTTTACTCTCTACTTATATATATTGTAATGTTTTCCCCAAACAACAAAGATATATTAATATGTGTATTTTAATTTACAATTTAAAAACTAAAAAAGGCTATTAAGTAGGTTTAACTAGAGTTTCTGTAGATTGGATATAAGATTAGAAATGTTTTGCTACTTAGATTTAGATAGTCTATACCATTTTGGAAGTAGTAGTCTGACTTCAGCAATTGATATAAATGACCTAAGAAAACCAGAGGTCTTCAGAAAATATTTGGTGACACCTTTAGGTATGACCTACTAATAGTACTCATTGAAAGAACTCAGCTGATTAATATCTTGCACCTTAGCTCTATTTATCTGAATATTCAGATGACCTAAAGGAAAGATAGATTTTTCTAAAAATTATAATACATTGAAAGTCTTTTGAATGCATTCTTCTACAAGAATAAAGTTTTTGAAAAATTTCTGTAAAGGAAATCTCTGTATTTCAAATGGATTTGAAAAATAATATTCTATTATATTGAGACATTTATGAAATGCTTTGACTTCCTGGAATGATGGAAATTATAGAATAATAGGAAACTAAGGAAAAATATGAGAAAAAAATCAGTTTTTTATGATTATTTTTAAAAAAGGGGGCATAAAAGATAATTAATAACATAATTACATTGCAAATTGGACAGACTTGCCAATTTCACAGAGCATCTTTAGTATGGTTCAGGAAGAGCTGATAAAGCATTAATCCCTCATCAACTCACTATGGGGGACTAGTTCCTTCATCTATAAAATGATGCTTACCCTTAGTGAGCTATACAGTTGAGGTTTATTCAAGCTAGTAGTCCAATTATTGAAATGCAGGCTTCATTTTCATTACATGTCCTCTAGATTTAACTGCAAACCAACAAGATCAATTCCATATGCTCTACATACAGAACAACCTAACAGTGAAGACCATGGACTCTGGAGCCAAAACACCCAAGTTCAAATACCATTTCTGATATTTACTAGCAGTATGATCTTGGGTAAGATTACTTAACTTCTCTGTGCTTCAGATTCTTCATCCATAAAATGGAGATAATAATAATATTTATCATATAGGGTTATTTTTAAGATTAAACAAGAAAATGTGTATAAAGCATCCAGTACAGTGCTCAAAAAATTTTAGCTATCATCATTCCTTACAGTCACTCTATTAAAAAAAAAAAAAAAAAGGATACAAGTCTGACCATTAGAACTTGATTTTATAGAAACAGCACAACTGATTCTTACTTTAGTTATGTATCCACAAACCGTCAAATATAAGATTCTTAAACTGGTTGGGTATTGAGCCAGTATCTTGTACCTGGCCTTGATAAGACAAGACAAATAAATTTTGTATTGGATCCTTCTCATTGTCATTGATGTAAAGTCAGAGAAGACCAAAATGCCTTGTCAAAATCCACTCTGAAACCGCTGCATCTGTTTTAAGCAAGCAAACTTCCTACCTGTCGTCTGCACTGCGAAGGGACGGAAGCCGGAAGCTCGTGTTTCTGTCGAGTTTGGACTGGCTTTTGGTCCTCTTGATGGAGCCCTTCAGGCGCTTGCTGAAGAATCCCTAGAATGAAAGGCAGAGAGTGATGGGAGGGAGAACCAGAAGGGAACCTTACACCCTTTGCACTATCTTTGTAAACGGTGTTTAGACTTTTATAATGAAGACCTGAAACAGAATCCAGCCTGTAATTTTTTTATTTTTTGTTTTGTACATAATAGTTGCTTGAAACCACTTGGTAATATAATCAGAAAATTTCTTTATTCTGTGATAACTGGGATAATGAAACCTTTTGATAGTACCTAACATCTTATTTCTTAGTTTTTATACTAGCTGTGGTAAAGAAGCTTCTAACTATACCAGCAGATTTTTGAAAGCACAACAATATAACATACACAAATATATTCCTTTCTATGAAGATGATATCAGCAATTTCAATATAAGTAGCATCCAGTGATTTCCTAAATTAGGGGAAAATAGGCAAAGATAATGTCATGTGCAAAGGCCCTGAGGTGAGAATATACTTGGCATGTTAGAGGAATTGAAAGATATTGATAGTGAGAAGAGAAGAAGCTTTATTCTAAGATCATCATTCTAAATGAGTTAACTAAGTTGTATAAGGTAATATATTGGTGGTCTCAAAGTGTTAAAATTTGGTCTGTGTTGTCTTAAATATGCTATAATAAAGTTAAGTTTTAAATGTAGCTATTTTAAAATTAAGAATAGATCATTCATGAAATCATTAAAGCATCCTGAATATAGAGAACAAAGTGTTTACAGTCTTTGGCCCTTGCTTGTCTCCTGCCACTTCCACCAAACTATCTAGAGTTCCCTGAACATCTCCCAAGACTCTGCAACTGGCAAATAGCAAGCACTCAGTGAAAGTTTGTGGAATAAATGAAAAAATACACGATTGAATGATGATGGTAACTACATTCAGGAAACTTACAATTCTATTGTCGGCAGATGAAAGGACATCTTATAGTATATTAAAAAGACTGTAATTCAAAGAAAAATATTTTGACACATAGAAAATGACTCTTTCTTTATATGATATTCATCTCAGATAAGCTGTGTATAATTGACAGGGAAAACACTGGGCTCCAGGACACGGCGCTGCCGCCTCCCTGTGGCCCGCATCCCAGTGGGGCTGGCTGTAGGGCACGCTGCCACCGGCCCGCCCGCCGCCGGCTCGCGCTGGCAGCGCAATCCTGTTGGGTACTTTTTGAGACCCACTGTTGCTCACTGGATGTTAAAGGTTATTGCTGATTGGATGCTTTTTGGAGTCCTACCAAGAATATAAAAGCAGGAGAACAAGGAGGGGGGGTCAGAGACCAGAAGTTGAGAAGAGAGAAGTCAGAAGTTGGCTGCACCTGCCAAAGGAATAAAGACGGTTTTGCGTGTGCCGCTTGGTTCTTTCCCTGGTAAAGAGCTGTTATCCTGGCTGTCACGCTGCTGTAGCATTTTGGTTCCCTGACTGGGAAACCAACCCCACTGGCACCCTGAAGCCACCGGATCGGGCCGGCGGACGGCAGGCTGATGAGCCGGCACTGAGCAGCATATCTCTCCTTCAGCGCCAAGAGCTGTTGGCCAAGGGCAATCTTGCTGAGGCCTTGCTGAGGGAGGGGACGCAGGGGCACTGACGCAGGCCACGCTGCGACAGGCCTCCTGGCAGGTGCTGATCTCCAAGGAGGATGGGCAGGCCGCAGGAGGCTGGGCAGGTGGGTGCCAGACTGAGTGAGTAGCAGATCCGGGAAGGCAGACCAAGGCCAGGACGTCGGACAAGGTAGGGTCCAGGGACCCGCCAGCTCTTCAGTGGTCCAAGATAGGCCCCTCAGTGGGACGGAAGAGGAGCCCCATCGGCTCCTAAGGACAGGGATCCCCAGGGGAGGGAATGTGTAACCTCTAATAGTGACTGCTTGCGGTCATTGTGTCGGTAGCCCCACAGCTTCAGCTTCGGGTTTGAATGGGCCCTAACCTGGGGTTCTGTGGCGACGTCGGCATAATGGCAATTCACTCCCCGTGATGCCTTGGCCAAGACGTGCCTAAGTTCCCTTGAAGGGCGCAGCTAGGCGGACACCTGGTAGAAGCCCCCACCCCTTGTCTAGGAAGGGGAGGAGCCAGAGCAGGGACCAGAGTCTGGGCAGGGACAAGGTTCAGAAAAGGAGTTTTGTTGGGCGGTGTAGGGGACAGGAGCGCTGGTGAAACCAGTTGAAACATGGGAGGGTCCGAATCCAAGCCCACAGTTGCGAGGCGCACGCTGCTGAGCTTCATGCGTTCAGTGTGGAGAGCGGTGACTGGGACTGCACCCCACACCCACGGGCTTCTCCACCGCTGGCTTCTCCACTGCTCGCCCGCCGGTCGCGGTCTGCCCCGGCCTTCCAGCTGCCTCTGAGTGAAACGCGAGGTCCGCCGCGGGTTCGGGATGCCGGAACCATCCAGCCGGGGCAACCTGCCCTGCATTATGAGCCTTTCTCCAACACCGACCTGTTGAATTGGAAACACCATACGCCGTCCTACTCGGAGAAACCGCAGGCCCTCATCGGCCTTCTGGAAGCCATCTTCCAGACTCACCGCCCCACGTGGGAAGATTGCCGACAACTCCTACTGACCTTTTCAGTACCGAGGAGCAGCGTCGGATCACAGCTAGCACTCGAAAGTGGCTGCAGGAGAGGGCGCCGGCGGGCACCCTGAATGTGGAACAGTGGGCATCACGAGTGGTGCCCGAGACGAACCCAGAGTGAGATTTCAACGCACCAGAAGGACGGCGGCACTCGAGCGGGACCGAGAGGCTCTTCTCCAAGGGGTGCGGGAAGGGGCCAAAAAGCCGACCAACACGAACAAGCTTCCTAATTACCCAGAAGCCAGAGGAGTAACCCTATGACTTCTACGAGCACCTCTGTGAGGCATACCGGATGGACACACCTATCGACCCGGAGGCAGCCGAAAACCAGAGAATGGTGAATGCAGCATTCGGCCTCCGACATCTGGAGGAAGCTGCAGAAACTCAAAGGATTTGCAGGCATGAGTATCACACAGTTAATGGAAGTGGCCCAGAAGGTGTACATCAACTGGGACCGGACTGCTCAGAGGGAGAAAGATCAGAGGATGAAGAAAAAAAGGCCACCCTCCTGGCTGCTGCCCTCAGTAGACCCGACCCGTCCAAGCAGTCCAGCCCCCCACAAAAGGGGGGAACCAGAGGACGGGCATCCCTGGCAAGAGACCAGTGTGCCAGTTGCAAGGGGTTTGGCCACTGGAAGAATGAATGCCCCCACAAGGGAAGTCAGCTAGTGCAGCCTGGACCCCCACGAAAAGGGGGAACCAGAGGGCAGGCACCCTTAGCAAGAGACCAGTGCGCTAATTGCAAGGGGTTCAGCCACTGGAAGAACGAATGCCCCCACAAGAGAAGTAACCTGTTGCAAGGAGGGCCCCGTTTGGGACTATCCAACAGAAACTGGAAGCCCAAGAGCTAGTGGGGCTCACTGGTATTGACTCCAAGTTGGGCTGATCGGGTTCCTTCAGCCCTCAGGAACCCATGGTCAAGATGAAAGTAGGGGGCCAACAAATAACATTCATGGTGGACCCTGCAGCAGAACATTCAGTTGTGACAACCCCTGTGGCCCCATAAACAAAGCGTGAACCAACTATATTCGGAGCTGCCGGGACTCGGGTAGCCAGACCCTCTTGCCAGTCCCAGGTATGCCAACTGGAGGGGCCATCAGATAAGGCATGAGGTCCTCCACATGCCAGACTGTCTGGTGCCTCTCTTGGGGCGGGACCTGCTGAGCAAGTATGAGGCAGACGCCATCCAGCGGACCGAGGAGCTGGAGGAGGCCAAGAAGAAGCTGGCAGAGAAAGATGAGGAGTGCGCTGACCTGAGGCGCAACCACCAGCGGGCAGTGGAGTCCCTGCAGGCCTCCCTGGATGCTGAGACCCAGGCCCACAGCGAAGCACTGAGGCTCAAGGAGAAGATGGAGGGTGACCTCAGTGACCTGGAGCTGCAGCTGGGCCATGCTACCCAGCAGGCCACAGAGGCCCAGGCGGCCACACGCTGCTGCAGGCCCAGCTGAAGGAGCAGGCAGGGCGGGATGAGGAGCAGCGTCTGGCGGCTGAGCTCCGAGAGCAGGTGCAGGCCCTGGAGCGCCGGCTGCGCTGAAGCAGGGTGAGCACCGCCGGTGGCTGGCAGAGCAGGAGGTGTTGGAGGCCACCGAGCACCTCAACCTCCTGAGTTTGCAGAACACAGGCCCCCTGAACCAGAAGCAGCAGCTCAAGGCAGATTTGGCCCACCTGAGTAGGGAGAAGGAGGAGACTGCCCAGGAGAGGGCCACCGTGATGGCTGAGGAACTGAAGGAATAGGACAAGTGCACACCTGGAAAGGATGAAGAAGACACTGGAACAGACAGTCCGGGAGCTCCGGGCCCAGCTTGAGGCTGAACAGGCTCCCTCAGAGGCGAGAGGCAGGTACCTGTGGGGGTACTGGCGCAGACTGTGGGCCCCTGGCAGAGGCCAGTGGTCTGTCTGTCCAAGTGGCTGGACTCGGTAGTGTTGGGATGGCCGCCTTGTCTGCGGGCACTGGCAGTAACCGTCTTGCTGGTCAAGGAGGTGGATGGGCTTGCACTTGGGCAGGGTGTCCGTGTGCAGGTCTGCGTGCTTTGCTGAACACATCGGGGCGCCGATGGCTTTCTAGCAGTCAGCTGGCGCAGTGCCAGGGACTGCTGTGTGAAAACCCACGAGTCACCATCGAGACTGTGTGGACCTTAAACCCTGCCACCTTCCTTCCTACCAGGCCAGGGCCCCCGGACCATGACGCAGTCACCACAGGGAGTGAAGTCATCACGTCAGCCCCTCTGCCTCGGGGATGGTCAGCCCAGAGGGCAGAGTGCTCATCCAAGCCCTCAGGTATGCCTAAGACAAAAGGGCCAATGTATACGGATTGCCCCTGAATCTGGCTGGAAGCCAAGGACTGAATGGGACCACTGGCCTGGACTCTTATAGGAATACTGACAGTCTTCTTGGGAATTGGACTCGAGGCCTTTGTCCCAAGAGACTGGACTAACTTGTTTCTT